GTTCTTGCGAAAGAGAGAACAAGGGCAGATTCTGAGAGGAAGAAAGCTGAGGCAGCGAAGAAGAAAGCTAATGAAGCACAGAAAAAGTGTAAAGGAAGAGAAAAGTAGGGCTGATGAGGAAAAGAGATTTGCCAATATCGAAAGAGAAAAGGCTGAGGAAAACAGACTTCGGTTGGAGACGTTAAATGGTGAAGCCGATGAAATGAGTTCAAAATTGGTTCTGGAGACACGTAAGTCTGAAGAGGCAAGGAAGAAGCTTGTGGTAGAAAGACAAAAGACAATCAAAGAGAAAAAACATGCAGATTTGGAGATGGCCAAGGCAGAAGAGCAAAGGAAGCTTGCAGAAATGAATAGGAAGATGGAAATGGATGAAAAATGTCATGCTGATAAGTTGTGTCAGCAGTTGGAAGAGCATAAACGAGAAACTACAGAAGGAGATATATGAACTTGTATCCTTCAGAAAATTGGTTGAAGCTGCTGCTTGCTTACCTGATAAACAGACGAGTGTTGATACTGAAAAGGCAAGCAAAATGCTTGGGAAAGAAAAGCAGATTGCAGCCTCTCTAATACGCAAAGCTTAAATTTGAAGAAGAAATCTTTTGCTGTAGAACCATGTCAAATGAAACATTGTGTTGAAAATGAGATTGTAAAGTCTAGTTGCAGAAAAGTAGATGCCTCTGTCAAGGAAAACCGTAGAATGTGCTGCACCATTTCTGGAGGGACCTGTAGTCAATCCATCTCAGCTACTGATTCTAAATTGGAGCCACTGCTTGGAGGTTCTAACAAAAAATTCTTACAGAGTTCCGCCATAAATTCCAGCATGGCATCTTTTTCTGATAGGCCGTTGATGGGCTCACAGGAAAGATGGAGTTCTTCTCTCACTACATCAGCTAATTATTCTGAAGAGAAATCAAATTTACAGCCATCTATTTCCAGTATATCTGGTGACGTTATAGATGGAGCTGAGGTACAATGGAAATCTTGCAATGGTGGTTGAAAATAGTGTTGGAAGCCCCAGTAACATAGATTCTGCTGGGAGGAAGGTTGGCCAAGGTAAGAAGAGAAAGATAATCCTTGATGCAGTTGAATCTGTTGAACATATGTATTCTGAGCCTAAGAAGTTGCATCTGCAGAAAGAAGAAGAGAAATGTTCTGTGTTGAATAGTCAAATGGATAGGTTCTTGGTAAGACTTTGTGCCACTTGAGTGATATCCTGTCCCTAGTTGAGCTGGTAGCATGGAAGATGGTACGAGTTTAAACTTTTCTGGGTGTACATTCTGATTAGCAGTTATTATGTTGGGTAAATGCGCATTGGATGATGCCTTTTCTGGCTTGATTTGGCGGCCCTGCAATCAGGGTGTTATTTTCCAATGAAATTTTCCCGGAATTGGATTTTCTTTTAAAATTCTAATTTTCCTGGGAATTTTATAATTTTTTTGGTGTTCCTTGTTTTAAAACATTCAGTTGGGTTTTGAGTCTAACAGGGAAAGCAAGGTGAAAAATGAAATGCTTGGTAGCTGTAACTTGTAAAGTTAATTAAAATGTTTTATTTTCACTTCAAGGAAAAATATATTTAACATATGGCAAAATATCTGATATAAGGGGTCATTAGGTGGAGAATTAATATAGGATCAATCCTCATATTACAATTTGGCCTTTTCACAAGTATTATTTTCAATAGCGACTGCAACTCTTTAATTTGGTTCTTATTTTCATTTCGTGTTCTTGTACAACGTATTCTAGGAGAATTGTTCTGACCTATTACCTACCTTTTTCTATTTCTTGCTATGCAGAGCTGGGATTGGACAAGCAACAACATCGTTTCTTTGCTGTTAAAAAAGTTGGAATCATGCATCCCAAAAAATTGTTCAGCTGCTATTTTAATTCTTCTTGGTCATCTGGGAAGGTATTCTAATAATTGTAGGCTTGCATCAAGAATCTGAGTTGAGTATTTGCGCTTTTGCATTACTTATTGATGGGCTTAGTAGGCATGTTGTTGTTGTGTATGTTGTTAGCTGGTGACATAGTTTTAATTGGTGAACGTAGTGGGTATGGGAACTTCATTTTGGAATCTCAAGGTTTAGCCATGTACAGTATAGTCCAACTTATGCAACAACATAGAAGAGTGATTTGGTCCAAGCAGAAGGTGTCAAGAAAGACATGCTGAAGGCCAAAAAGATCATTGATAAGGTTGTGAGAAATGACATGATTGTTTTGGATTTAATTGAGATTACGTCTTTACAAAAGTCAATTGGAGATGGCGTATCCATGCAACTGACCTAAATAGTTAGGATTAATGCTTGTTGAGCTGAGCGATAGTTGGGCTTATGTATTAGGAAAGTTGGGTGGTTATGAGGTGTCGATATAAAGAATCGTAATTACTTGCTTTTGAGAAAAGAGAATTAAATCCAATCCTCCTTGTCAAAAAAAAAAAAATCCAATTATTAGTAGACTAATTACCCTCATGGCGGTTTGGGTGGATGATTGCTAACCCAAGTAACAAAATATCTATCTTGTTTCAATTTTTTTTAATACTTTTCCTATAACGCCCCTTTCGGGTCGTGGTTCTATTTGGTATCTAAGCATCTTCCTTGTGACTGCAACAATTTGGGCGGGGTGTTGTTCTCAATACTTAGAAACTTTGAGAAGATCAAAGCCGCTACATGGCTAAGTGAGAAGAAAATCACAAATTTAGGAAGATTTTAGCAAGCTTATCAAATTTGTAATATATTAGAAGTCTAGTACTGTGTATGTGTCCCACCTATGTGGGCTTTTAGGAGGTGAAAACTAGAGAGAGACCTGACATTTGGCTTAATTTCTGTGATGTTGTGGCCGGAATTTGGTGTCAGGTCGCATTTCAACCCGCTTTTGACTTGTTGGATGAGCTTTGTGTGGGCCGAAGCCCTTCAAAGCTTTGGTGGTTTGGGGGTTTGCCCCGAGGAAATTTTTTACCCGCTTTTGCTTGTGGGTTGTGGACCGTAATTAGTACTCTCTTATAACCCGATATATGAGGGCGTTTAGGGTTTGGAGTGGGTAGAGCAAGAGACATTGAAAATCGTGTAGAAAGAGAGTGAGGGGCTGAAACTTATAATCTCCGATATTACACGGTGAAGACTTTCGCCGGATCTCCACCATGGATGTAGGTTTTGCTGAATCACATATAAATCTTTGTGTTCTTAGTGTGTGGAGTGTTTACTTTTCTGTCGTGTTTCGTGATTGTTGCTTGGGTTCATTGCGTTTGTCATAACAATTTTGTACAAAGTGGCTGCTTTAAGACTTATTATAGACACATCCTCATGTTTATCACTTATCGGGCAACGCTGGAATTATTTGGTTGTATCCTTCATGATTTTGTTTAAAATGCAATTTTATTTAGAAAAGAAGTGAACTATAGCCTAGTGTAAATTATTGAGATTCATGGCTTTATACCCAATGTTCCATATTTCAAAGTGAGATGCCAATAAATAAATAAATAAAAGGGAAAAAGGAAAATAAAAAATAGGAAAAAGAAAGCAAATTGAATTATGCAGAAGTTTTAGGTCTTCATGCTTCATAAAGAATTGTCTTAACATACTCATCTAAAAAAAAAAAAAAATTATATAACGATGGAAGAAAGCTTATGATGAATGGACTTTGGATGTGATTTTGGAGTATTGGATGGTTGACTTGTATCTTGTCAGATTGATGGGTAAATTTTAGATCAAAGTTGTGGACTGTTGTAGATGGCTAGCAGCCTTGTTTCCCAGCATAGAATTTTGGGAATTTAAGAAAAAGTTTGTTCATAATTTAGTGTTGTTGGAACGATTATTGTGAGTTATATTATTACGTGGGCAAGATTCAGTTGAGATCTATGTCCGTGTTTACTATAAAGACCAATAAATAAATAGGGAGTAATATTGGAAGATGATCCCACTAGCCCATATTGTTGTTAGGTTTAAGAATTACCACAAAGATGCATCTGAGGAAGCCAGGAAGGACATGTTGACTTATATTTGATGAAATCATCGTCTTAGAGATGCTGTGGTCCTTGTTACTCAGTTGATTCTCGTCACTTTCAATGAACAAGGTGGGGGGCCCAACTCTGATAGATGTTGTCCATTGGGTTACTGATTCTCCAAGCTAAAAATAGATTGTGAAAGAGTGGTGGAGCATAAAAAAGGGGCAAGGGGGAATGGCAAGGAGGGAGCTTATTCGTATCTGGAACTGCCCTTCGGGGGAGGGAAGTGTTTTTTAAGAGAAAAGTCAATACATATGCTCAAAGTGTTGATACCTTGTTTCTTTGGTAAAATCTTTGTACTTCTTTCCAATGGATGAGAATGCAATCTCATTCTTGATTCAATGGAGAAACACACCAGCTCATGCAAGAATGCTCTCATCATATCCTCTTTCTTTCAATTTGTGATGTAAGTTGAAGCCTTGCTGAATTAACACTTTGTATGAAGAGTTCTAAAAAGAAATTACATACGATATCAAAGCTTTCGGCTTCCCAGACACTGAGTTACAACATTTGTGTACATTTCTGAAAAAAAATAAATAACAATTACACTGCCATATTCCTAGCCGATTCTCTATCGTGCTTGTCGAGTAATTTACCCATGAACCTGTACACTCTGATCTAAAGCATATGTTACGTGCAACGATGTCATATACCTTATTTTGTTGTTGCTGCGTCATCGTTTTGATATCATGAAGCAGCTGAGCTACCACGCTTGCATTTCCATAATTCCTGCAAAAGTACTCTCTATTAGAACGTAAAATGATAGAATAAAACTTTTTCACTCCTATGGATATAGCAATGTCAAAGAACTAGAAATTAGTCACTAGTTGCACCTTGTAAGATAGAAGCATCAATTATCATACAAATTCAATCCTCATTCAGTGCGTCTAGTTACTACTGTCTCAACTTGCTCACCTGCATGGAATTCAATATTCTAAGTTATTCTGTAACTTGGAATAGCAAAAACTAGAATTAGAATAGATACATACTTTCATGTTTCAACTCACTCACAGTTTTTGATAAATTGAAGTTTGATCTTCTTGAGTGCTACTAGAGCATCTTTCATGTTGATCCTCTCCTGGGGTGATTCGGCAGAGCAATTCAAAGCCAATTCCATGATGGATGATACACACTTCACCTTTGCAGTGTAGTGTTCTTCCTCTGGCCTGAGCAAGTTGGAATCTACAACCTGAATAATTGCATCGGGTAGTGACTGATTTACCCAACCCTTGAGGCTTAGATCCTCAACAAATAAATCATCAATGGGTTTTCGTCTTGTAAATGTTTCCATCAACATAATACCATAACTGTAAACGTCACACCTTGTTGATACTAATCCTTCCAATCCGTACTCTACATCAAACATTATAATTAATCAAACCAGTTGGATGTGTTTTGATGAAAGTGAAATTTTGAGAAACTAATAAATTGAAATTTTGTTATGAGGAAAAAAAAAAAAAAACCCAAAACTAACATTGAACAAAAATTGAAAGCTAAAAGCTTCACCTGGTGCAATATACCCAATTGTGGCTAGAGTCTTGGTTAGTGCAATGCTATCCCCTTGTTCTAAGAACTTTGCGATGCCAAAGTCACTCACGTGTGCAACCATCTCTTCATCTAGTAGGACATTGCAGGGTTTGAGGTCACAGTGAACCACACGTGTAGAGTAACCATGGTGGAGATAGTCTAATGCACACGCCACGTCTATCAGTATGTCTAATCTTTGCAAGATATCCAACAAGTAATTGTGTGAATACAACCACTTTTCAAGGTTCCCATTAGGCATGTACTCCAGTATCAAGGCCCTGAAATCAAGGTTAGAGCAACTGCTAATTACTTTGGTGAGATTCCGGTGGCGAATGTTGCGTAATATTTCGCATTCTGTGTCAAAACTCTTGAAAGCAGTTTCTTGTTGCAGATTGAAGACCTTTGCAGCCAAAACCGTCCCATCTGTTAGTGTACCTTGGTAAACTGAACCATAACTCCCCGTTCCAAGTAAATTGCTTTCGCTAAACCCATTTGTTGCTCGTACAAGTTCATGGTGTGCAATTCTTTCAAGCGTAACTGCGGCTATCGATTCAGGTTGAATTGGATTTTTATTTCTCCTCCATCGACTTTTTAGGCACATTAATAATAGAATTGCTGAGGCAAGAACTATTAATGCGATTGGCAACAAAATATATAACATTTTGTTTACCTTCGATTTGTGAAGAGACTTATTATCACATAGCCGGACTTGGAACCGAGGAGCACCACACAATGCTTCATTCGACATAAAAGATTGACTCGTGAAATTCACAAAAGGTCCACCAGTCGGAATTTCTCCTCTTAGTCTATTGAAAGACGCATTGAAATGTTTAAGATACAAGAGTGACTCCAACGATTCAGGAATCGGACCGGATAGGTTGTTTTGGGATATATCCAAGGATTCCAAGCTTACCAAGTTTCCAAATGCCTCAGGAATTGATCCTTGCAGCCTATTATGTGCAAGGGAAAGACTAATCAAGTCTTTCAAACCACCAATGGTTGTAGGAATATCACCAGTGAATTTATTCATTGACAGATCAATTTCTGTTGCTACTTTTAAACCTCCAATCTCTTGGGGTAGATTCCCACTCAAAGAATTAGAGGACAGATTGAACTGCAAAAGATCTTTGAGTTTCCAAATGGTTGTAGGTATGCCGGAATTAAATCCGTTGGAGTCCAAATATAGGTATCTCAAGGAAGTAATATTTACTAAGCATTCCGGTATCGTTCCAAACAATCTATTTTCACTCAAACGTAGCTCACCCAAGTTCAGTAAATGGCAGAGCTCCTCAGGAATGGTTCCATCTATTCTGTTGTCATAAAAATGCAGTTGTTGTAGCTTGCTCAACCCTTTGATGGTCGTTGGAATACGCCCGGTTAAGTTGTTGCCACTTAGAAACAACGACAACAGGCTGCTTAAATTACCAATCTCACTCGGAATATTGCCCTTTATTCCACAATCATCTAAACGAAATATTTCCAGAGAATCAGAGAGAGAACCAATGGAGACCGGAAGAATTCTGTTTAGAGGATTTTCACTTAGTCGCAATGCTTTTAAATGTTTGCAGTTGGTTAAAGAAGTGAGGAAACTCAATTCTAGAGATGATGATTCAGCAATGAAGTTGTTTCCCCTGAGATTCAAAAATATGAGTCGTCCTAAATTACCAAGGGAGCTGGGAATAGGACTGGTGAACCTATTGTTGGCAACATCTATAGTAGTGAGTTTCGAAGCATTTGAGATAGAATCAAGGATAGTTCCAGTGAAGGTATTACTTGCAAGAAAAAGTCCTTCAAGATTGGGTAGAGTCTGGCCTATGCTTGATGGTACATTGCCTGAAAAGTGATTGCCAGCAAGTGAGATCCCACGTAGTGTTGAGATGTTGAACATCATTGCTGGGACTCGTCCTCTTAAGCTATTAAAATTCAATGATATTATCTCCAACTTATGAAGGTTGCCAATCTCTTTCGGTATCACACCTGCTTAGCCATGTAAAAAGATTAATTTCATTGGAAATGATGAGAGAGTGGTCGTTAGAACTATTAACAGAAAATAGAAACTAAAAGTTGAAGGAAAATGACAATTTCAAGATGATATATATAGATGTTGAAGTTTTTCATGGAATCACTGTATCGTCTCTCATAATCATATGAAAATATATATAACTAATTTGACATTTATTGTTCACCAAAACTTTTAGCTACTATATTGTTCACAAGGATCTTTTTGTTTGTAGGAAAATTCTTATTGGCGGAAAAATATATCTTGAAATTAGAAAAAATAAAAATGACAATGAAAACATATTCGATTATCACAAGAATGGTGTCACCTTGTACGGAAGTATCCTATGACCTCTTTAAGCAAGTTGGTATTTTACAAGTTTAACCAAACTCCAAAACCAAAAGAGATAATAAATAATAAAAATAAACCACATAGTCAAGACATTAAATTTATAAAAAAACCTCATTCAATGAATTCAACATAAACCCGTTCTATTTATTGGCATCAGACCTGCTAAGAAATGTAAAAGAACATTGAAATATAATGTTAATTCATGGAAAATGATTAGAGAGGGCTCATAAGAACTATTAAGAAAAAAATTGAAAATAAACGATGAAGAAAAATGAACATTTCAAGATAATATTAGCATGCGAAAGTTTTTCATGAAATCACTATATTATTTCTCATATTTATATGAAAAAAATTTAACTAATTTGACATGATTTCTTAAGATCCAAACAATTATGGGCATCTCTGTTTGTGGGAATATCCATATTGAAAATACTTCTTTCGAAATTTGAAATTCTAGGATGGTTTAGTTAAGGAAGACATTAACTAAATTCTTATGAAAAGCTTTTTCATATTATGACAAATTAGGAAAAAAAAAAATGATAATAAAACATGCTGATTATCAGAAGAAGAAACCTCTTACCTCTTTAAAGAAGTTGGTATTTTACAAGTTAATTAACCAAACTCCAAAACCCAAAAGATATAACACAATTAGGACATTAAATTTAAACAAACTCCAAAACCCATAAAATCACAAGGTGCAAAGGTGAAAATCTCATTAGTAGACAACAAAATGTTTTTGTTGTGTGTCGGGGAAAAAAAAAAAAATGCTTTTAGGGGGAGATACTGTTTCACCAATCGAGTCACATATTTCTAATATATTCATACCTAATGATTTTATACTGAGTGAGGTGACCAACCACTTAATTTATGTTATGAAATATGCTTTTTACCCTTGTATTTAAACACTTCATAATGAATTTCATTTTTGTAAGCCGGGGGAAAATAAATGAAGTAGAAAATGAGAGAAGAAAGTTTTAAAGTGCAAGGAAAACATAACTTGCAAAACTTGCCAGAATATAAGGATTATACCTGAAAATCTATTTCCAGAAAGATAAAGCCCTTGCAAAGAAGTGATATTAAAGATGGAAGATGGAATGAGACCAGTGAAACCTACATCCTCCGTTACTAATATCTCCAAATGAAGAAGGTTACTCATCTCTTGTGGAATTTCACCTACAAATTAAAGAATTTACCATCTGCATAAAAAGGGGCATAAATAAATGACTCATGATAGTCCTATTAATCAAGTGTTCTCAAATCCAACTTTAACATTATATTAAAACCTACTTCCTCACACTTAACAATTTACCATCCATATGAAGCTTTTAATTGTTAATCATATAAACATACCATATTGCGCAAACACTGGAATCTAGCTTCCTTCCATTTTTTTCCTTATACGTGATCAAAGTTCATATAAATTTGAGTAGAAAGCTATTAACCACTACAATGTGATAGTTTTTAAATACAGGAAAAGTCTTTTAATTTTATAATAAGTTAGTTAATCCAATGGTCAACAAAGAAGGCTCATTCATGAATCTTGTCATATAATGGCTCTCATATAGAAACCTTCACTTTGGATTTTTATAGAATTATATTTTAGTAAATGCTTAAAAAAAAAAAAAAAAAAAAAAAAAAAAAAAAAAAAGTTCATGTCAAGATCAATGTTCATGAATCTGATTTAAGAAGTGTTGAATCTGTATTTGAATTTAAGAATTTTTCATTTAAATTATGAACATGTCCATGACAAGTTGAACATGTCCCAAAGTCCGAGAGTGTTGGAGTAGTGTCATTCACTGGGATGACTATTTTATGCCTTTTAGTTGTTCAACTTTGCTTAATTAGGAATCCTTATTTATTTTTCTTTTTTTCTTTAATATGCTTGACAAGGTTATTAATTTCTCCTAAATAAAAAATAAAATAAAATAAAAAAGTTTCACCAAATGAGCACAATACCCCAGATGATATAAAAGGCAAGTAACTCCTAATCTGGTTCCTAAATGCAGCTTGACACATCTCTCAACAGAGTATCTATCTTTCTTTTTTGTTATTTTATTTTATGCCTTATCTTTTTGAAGGTCTATTCCCTCGTTGCAAATTTTATGTCATACAGATGAGGATAAATATCAATTGAAAATAGATAGAGATGCTGTAAACATATGACATGAAGTACTGTGCAAAAATCATTTCCTATTAGATTTTGTTTAGCATGAAAAGAAAACTTATTTATGATGTTGTATAATATCACTTTATCTTTGTCACTCTGTAGGCACATTAATTTAACAGAGGGTGAAAGTGGTTAAGGTTCTCCTGTGTTTCCTTTCTTTCATTTTTTTGTTAGTCAGTTCATTTTAGTTTTGTTTACCTCTTTTTGCTAGGATTTTTATTTCGGTAAATAAAACTGAAATTTTAGTTGCACCAGCCGGGAAACGAAATGACAAGCAAAAAGGCTCTTTTTGCTAGCTTTCATAGCAATTTACTTTGCCTTTTACTCAAATGTGCCATTAGATTTGTATAGATTAGAAGTCAAAATAAAATTTAACAAGCATAATATGTGAAACAATGAGTTAGCACTATGGCCTAGAGAATAATTTTGAAAAAAATAAATAAATAACAAAAATGTTGAAGGTGTGGTACTGCAGTTTGAAATTAATTACTGTGAACATAACTCGGATTGAAAAAAAAAGTAGTTGTTTTATGAGAGATGGAATAAATCATATTACATCTCCACCAACTCTCGCTATATATATAATCTTGGGTTTGGTCCATAATAAAAGATGCCATGTCTGACGCAAAGTGAAGAAAATGAAACTAGTAATGAAATAAGAATATGTGCAATTAAATAAATTATGTTTGGTTAGCGGATTTAGGTATGCCATTCATGATAGGGTATCAACATAGATAATTTACACTTTACCAGAAGCCATAAATGCAACAACTAGGGCAAAGGCCTTTTTGGAGAAAAGCGAAAGCACCGACTGGCTTTAGGAATTACTTTGATTCGACTGATTCAGTGACGAACAAAGCAAAATAACCTATGTATTCTCAACCTTCCATTCCAACAATACCTAATTCGGCTAGCACCAGGACTTAGCCAAAGAATACAAGAATAACTCCCATAGTAAGTCGTGATACATCCAAAAATAATTTCGATAGTCATCCAGACCCCATTAAGTGTTATCGATGTGGGAAGCCAGGACATCGATCTAATGAATGTTCTTAAAGGCACTCAGTCAATTTAATAGAACCAAGGGTGAGGAGGATCAAGATAGAAAAGATGACGAAGGGTTTCCTTTATACAATGAGGAAGAGATGATCAGAGAAGATGAGGGGGATCTACTCTCACATTCTCTAGTTGTACGAAGGTTGTTACTTGCCTCGAAAACGAAAGAGCATCCATAGAGGCACAATATATTCCGGACACGATGCACTGTCAATAAGAAAGTCTATGATATTATTATTGATAGTGGTAGCAGCGAGAATATTGTGTCAAGGGTGATGGTCCAGAAGTTATGGTTGAAAATAAAGAAGCATCCCAGTCCCTACAAAATTAGTTGGATTAAAAAAAGGGGCAGAAACAAGGGTTACAGATATCTGCCGGGTTTCCTTTTCTATTGGGAATAAGTATATTGATGAGGCGTTGTGCAATGTTGTTGATATAGATGCTTGCTACTTGATTCTGAGTAGAACATGACAGTTTGGCGTCAATGCCACTCATAAGGGAGATAATGTTTACATGTTTGATAAAAGAGGGCAGAAGATTATGCTGGGTCTTATGAAAAAAAGGGATTTTTCCAAGGATTCACAAGCCAAAGGAAAGTCGGTTCTTTTAATCGGCAGTGAGCAACAGTTTTTGGAGGAGGCCAAGGAATGTGGACAATTTTTGGCACTGGTAGTTGGAGAAGAGGTGTCTAATACTCCTTCTGCAATTCCAACAGTGTTACAACCCATGTTTGAAGAGTTTCGGAAGATTATTCCAGATGAGTTAAGAAGCGGCTACCACCAGATTTAGCACCACATAGATTTTGTGCCTGGTGCTAGTCTGCCTCATTTATTGCACTGTCGCATGAGTCCAAAGGAGTGTTAGATTTTGTAGGACCAAGTTACGGAGTTGGTTTAGAAGGGTATGGTGAGGGAGAGTATGAGTCCGTGTGCTATTCCAGCTTTGTTAATACCAAAGAAGGATGGTAGTTGGCGTATGTGTATCGATAACAGAGCCATCAATAAGATCACCATTAAGCACAAATTTCCTATTCCATGGTGAGATGATATGTTGGATGTGTTGGCTGGTTCAAAACTCTTTTCCAAGATTGATTTGAGAAGCGACTACGACCAGATTCGTATTAGACCAGGGGACGAATGGAAGACTGCTTTCAAGACTAAAGAGGGTGTGCATGAGTGGTCAGTGATGCCATTTGGAATGTCTAATGCTCTAAGCACTTTTATGAAGCTTATGAATTAGGTATCGAAACCTTTTATCGGCAGATTTACTGTTCTCTATTTTTATGATATCCTAATTTATAGTCAGTTAGATATGGAGCATCAATCACACTTGAGGGAGGTACTGACAGTTTTGCAGGCAAACAAGTTGTACATCAATCTGAAGAAGTGCCCTTTTATGAGCAACAGTTTACTGTTTCTGGGTTTTGTGGTGAGTGCTGAAGGCATTTGGGTTAATGAGGAAAAAGTTCAAGAAATTTGAGAATGGCCCACGCCAAAAACAATAGGCGATGTGTGGAGTTTTCATGGTTTAACAACATTTTATCGGAGATTTATCAAAAATTTCAACAATATTGTTGCTCTTATTACAGAATGCATAAAGAAAGGAAAATTTAAATGCGGTGAAGAGGCAAAACAGAGCTTTGTGTTGATCAAAGAAAAATTATCCAATGCACCTATTCTAACATTGCCAAGTTTTGAGAAATTGTTCGAGGTTGAGTGTAATGCCTCAGTCATTGGAGTTGGTGCTATTCTTTCCCAAGAGGGCAAACCAGTTGCGTTCCATAGTGAGAAGCTTAGTGATACAAGGAAGAAGTAGACTACCGATAAGTTTGAGTTATAATCAATGGTACGTGCCTTGAAAGTTTGGGAACATTATCTAGTGCAGAGAGAGTTCGTTATTTACACTGATCATCAGGCTTTGAAGTTCATCAACAATTAGAATAATATTAACAGGATACACGCCAAATGGGTTTCTTTTCTACTACAATTTACCTTCTCCTTAAGGTATAAATCAGGCCAGCAGAACAGAGTTGTTGATGCACTTAGCCGAAGAGCAGCACTCCTGATGACTTTGTGAATTGAAGTTGTGGGTTTTGATTGTTTGAAGGAGTTGTACGGGGAAGATGACGACTTCAAGGAATTTTGGGCTAAGTGTTAGATTGGATAGGTTGCTGAGAGTATGCACATAGATGAGGGATTTCTTTTTCGTGGTAATCAGCTTTGTGTTCTGAGGAGTTCCCTTCATGAGCAGATTATTCAAGAATTACATGGTGGCGGTCTAGGTGGACATCTTGGTCAAGATATAAGACTATAGATTTGATCGAAAAGCGGTATTATTGACCACAACTCAAGAAGGATGTTGGCAACCATGTGTGACGGTGTCCAATCTGTCAATCTGCTAAAGGTCAATCTCAAAACACTGGTCTTTATATCCCTCTACCTACACTAGATTGTCCTTGGGAGGATTTGTCCATGGACTTTATCCTAGGACTTCCACGCACTCAACGAGGGGTAGATTCAGTTTTTGTAGTTGTTGATCGTTATTTTAAGATGGCTCACTTCATAGCTTGCAAGAAGACTTCTGATGCTACACATCTTGTAAATCTGTTCTTCAACGAAGTTGTTCGTCTTCATGGAGTTCCTAAGTCCATCACTTCTGATAGGGACACCAAATTCTTATCCCATTTTTAGAGGACTTTATTGAGGCGTTTTGATGCATCTTTGAATTTCAGCAGCATTAGTCATCCGCAATCTGATGGTCAAACAGAGGTGGTCAATCAGACTTTGGGCTATCTGATTTATTGTATTTCTAGTGAGAAACCAAAACAATGGGATCTTGCATTATCATAAGCAGAATTCACATACAACAGCATGGTCAATCGGTCAACAGGCGAGTCACCTTTTGTTATTGTTTACTATCATCCGCCGAAACATGCATTGGATTTGGTCCACTTCCGAAGCTGCCTGGAAAGAGTGTTGCTGCAGAACGTGTGGCAGATCGCATCTAAGCCATTCAGGATGGAGTTCGAATGTATCTTGAACAAGCTAATGCGAAATACAAGGAATCAACAAGCAAGAAGATGTGGAAGAAAGTATTTCAAGAAGGAGATTTCGTTATGGTGTTTCTACACAAGGAGAGATTTCCTGTTAGTACCTACAACAAATTAAAGAACAAGAAATATAGGCCTTATCAAATTCTGAAGAAGATTAATAATAATGCTTATGTTGTTGAGCTTCCCGAAGACATGACTATTTCTCCTACATTTAATGTTACAGATCTATTTGAGTATATTTCGCTAGATGAGACGCGCTCTTTCAGTCGTCAATCAGGGGAGACTGATGTAGAACTGATTGCTGAAGCCTTTTTGGCCCGTTTAAACTACCTGGGCCAAATGGGTATATTGATAGATTTTTTGGGCTAATCCCGAAGTGTGCATTTTTTATCCAACAGGAGAGTTTTTTTTTTTATAAAAAAAATGGCCCAACGAACAAGACTCACTACTACGCCGTGACGTAACATGCTTTTTGGAGAAATATTATCGTTTAGGGCCTCAAAATAGGGTTTTTCGGTCCGAAAGAAGCCAGTCGAATATTTTTTCGATTTTTGTTCGTTGTCTAAATAAACTCGGATTGTATTCATATTTTATATTTATTAGTTTTATTTTATTAGGTTTTTTTCTTTATTTTTTCAGAATTTTTAGAGAATCTTTATTTTTAGGCTTATTTTTTATATTAGGTTTCCTTATGTTATAAGGATTCCAGTTGCAGTTAGTTTCCTTATGGTTAATGGTTTTCTTTCATTATAAATATATATAATAAAGAAATCAGAATTATTCATTCAATTATCAATACAAATATCAGATTTATCTGAAATTATCCTTTATTTTGTGAATTCAAAACACACATCTTGTGGATTCAAGGTAATATATTCCTCGTGAATAAATTTATTGCTTCCGCTTACGTTAGTTGGTATTATAGCTTTGTCTGATGACAGATGAACGTGGTGACGGCAACCTTGCTGGCGACGAAGATCAACAGAGAGGGGCTCTTTTGAGGGCCAAATTCTAGGACTTTTGACAGACAACTAAATAGGCGTTGCAAAAAATTCAAGCCCTTACTGGGCTCGCGTTGGGTCCAAATCAAAATCGTGATTATAACAAGGGGCGAAACGTTGACGAAGATTGCGCTCGTCTTTTGTGGAATCGCAACGCCATCCGCGTTGGGTCCAAATCAAAATCGTGATTATAACAAGGGGCGAAACGTTGACGAAGATTGCGCTCGTCTTTTGTGGAATCGCAACGCCATCCTGCCACGGTTGTTTTATACCTTTTGTGTAAAAATATGTCCCCCCAATAACAACTAACCATTTTTTTTTTCCTAATTGGGACTCACACACACTGCCTCCACTGAGATTCGAACCCCTGACCTCCCTTTGGAAAGTAGGAGCCTTGTACCACTAGGCCACAGGCCTGTTGGTTATAATAACAACTAACCATTGTCATGTCCCTCACATAATTTTTACAAACCTGCTTAATATAGGTTGATTTGTTAATGGAATGAGAAAGAGGGAACAAAAAAGAAATATACTGATGTGACTGTGTAAAAATTTTGCGTAAAATATACAACAATTTTACACATTGGTGACGTAGTGGTGTATCTTAACAGGAGATAAAAAAAAAAAAATTACACATCATACGTGGCAATGTATATTTTACACAAAAGAATGTTTTAACATATACATAAAAGAGTATTTTAACAGACCGCTGGAGATGCTCTTAGGCCAGTTAGGCAGTCACCTAAAGCCCCAACCACTAAAAGCCCCAAAAAATTTTGCATCCTTATATATTTTGACTTCTCCAAAATATTTATTTACTTATATCATTAGAGCATCTCCAGCCGTCTGTTAAAATATCCTTTTGTATGAAATATACACGGACATGTATGATGTGCAAATTTAATCAATTTTTTATTGTTTATTTTTTATTTTTTTTTATCTCTATCAGTCTGTTAACATACACTACAATGTCACCAATGTTTAAAATTGTTGTATATTTTACACTGCCAACATATTTTCTTTCTCTTCCCTCTTTCTCATTCTATTAAAGAATCAACCCTATATTAAGTAGGTTTGTAAAAGTTATGTGGGTCCTGGCATGACACGTACGTATTTGATTGTTATTATGGGATATATTTTTATACAATAATTATAAACCAAGCAAAAAATAAATAATCCAAAATTAGTGTGTAAATCATCATGACACATCAAATTTACACAATATATATATATATATATATATATATATATATATATATATATATATACACAATTGTTGGAGATGTTCTTAGACTCCAACCAATACTAGAAGCCCCCAAAATTTTAATTTTCTTGTATTATTACCTTTTTAAAATTTTATTTCCTTATATTCTTATATCATAACCAGAAGGCCTCGATTTTTTTTTTTTTTATTATTATTATTGTATTTCCTTATATTATTACCTTCATAAAAAATTTATTTCCTTATTAAACTCCAACCAATAGAAGAGATTTCAAGATAATATTAGCATGTGAAGGTTTTTTATGGAATCACTATATTATTTCTCATATTTACATGAATAAAATTAACTAATTTGACATGATTTCTTAAGATGCAGAAAATTATGGGCATCTCATGCTCATGAACTTTCATTGTATGAAATCAACCGCCAAAACGTCTAGCTAGTATTGTTCACAAGGATCTCTCTGTTTGTGAGAAAATCCATATTGGAAATACTTCTCTCGAAATTTGAAATTCTACGATGGTTTAGTTAAGGAAGACTAAATTCTTATGAAAAGCTTTTTCTTCTGCCGATTATCAGAAGAAGAAACCTCTTACCTCTTTAAGGAAGTTGGTATTTTACAAGTTAATTAACCAAACTCAAAAACCCAAAAGATATGACACAATTAGGACATTAAATTTAACCAAACTCCAAAACTTAGAAAATGACAAGGTACAAAGGCGAAAATCCCATTAGTAGACAACAAAATGTTTTCGTTGTGTGCCGGGAAAAATAAATAAATAAAAATGCTTTGGGGGGAGACACTGTATCACCAATCGAGTCACAAGTTTCTAATATATTCATACTTAATGATTTTATACTGAGTGAGGTGACCAATCGTTTAATTTATGTTATGAAATATGCTTTTTACCCATCTTAATGAAATTCATTTTTGTAAGCAGGGGAAAAAGAAAATGAAGTGGAAAATGAGAGAAGAAAGTTTTAAAGTGCAAGGAAAACATAACTGGCAAAACTTGCCAGAATATAAGGATTATACCTGTAAAGCTATTTCCAGAAAGATAAAGCTTTTGCAAAGAAGTGATATTAAAGATGGAAGATGGAATGAGACCAGTGAGACCTACATCCTCCATTGATAACAACTCCAAATGAAGAAGGTTACTCGTCTCTTGCAGAATTTCACCTACAAAAGAATTTACCATTTGCATAAAAAGGGGCATAAATAAATGACTCATGATCCAATTTAGTCCCTATTAATAAAGTGTTCTCAAATCTAACTTTAACATTATAAATATTAAAACCTACTTCCTCACACTTAACAATTTACCATCCATATGAAGCTTTTAATTGTTAATCATATAAACATACCTTATTAAAGTTAGTATATAACAATACCTTTGAAGTTGTTTTCGCCAAGAGTTAAAACCTCAAGCACAGTCGAGTTCCAAGTCCCTCTAGGAATGGGTCCATTGAAATTGTTAATCGACAGTGACAAAATCTGAAGTTTTGAGCACTCATATAAATTGGATGGAATTTGGCCTTGTAGGTCGTTGCTAGATAGATAAAGCCCTTGGAGATTTGAAAGACCATAGCACATATCGGCTGGAAGATTACCAGATATGCCATTCCTTGTGAAAGCAATAAATTGCAGTGAAGACATGTTGAAGATGGTGAGTGGCAGGGGGCCTATAAGCCGGTTATATTGCAAGTCCAACATCTTCAAGTTCCGAAGATTTCCAATCTCTTGCGGAATCATTCCCTGTATAAAATTGGAAGACAAACGCAAGCTTTCTAGCTTCGACATGTTAGAGAAGGAAGGTGGGATAGTACCTATAAAACTATTGCTACAAAGAAATAACTTTTGCAGTTCAGTCAAGGCACCTAACCATGACGGAAGTTGTCCACTAAATTTGTTATATCTCAAATTCATGAGTTTCAATCGACGCAGATGAACTAATTCATTAGGCAAATGACCACTGAACGAGTTGTTACTGAGGTCGAGGGAAACAAGAAATGAGACGTTACCCAGGTTTGGAGGAACCGTACCTTCAAGAGCCATGTCAGAAAGGTCCAATGATGTCACTCGTCGGTGGCGAACACCACAAGTGACTCCAACCCAGTTACAAACGAATGTTGATGTGGACCAGTTGTTAGCCAAGACACCATGAGCGGCAAAAGTGATACGGGCTTTCAAGGCAAAGAGAAGATTGGTCACTGGTAATGTTGGGTACACTCCTAGCTAAACAAGCCACAACACAATGCACTAACAACACTGCATGCAAAAGAGAAAACCAAGTAATTTTCTCCATGAGTGTGTGTGAATAATTTGGACTACCGACTCAGTTTGCAAGATATATAAACAATGAAAATCTATATGTATAACGGTATATATAAATTTCCTAAATATCTTCTTATATATTGTTGTGATGAGTACAGAAATGAATGTTAAGTTTATGTTAAATTCTATATGACGTATCTAGAATAATCAAGCAGCCGGCCCTTGAAAACATTTTTTTTTTTTGGTAAACAAGGACTTGGCAGCCTTGAGTAATGGCAGGCCGGTTTTAGGAGAAAATATAGGACACGAAACAAAGACTACCAATTCATATATATTCAGTCAATTCATGCTGACAAATACTGAAACACCACTAGGCACTAGACAAAGATTGGAAGAGCAAAACCATCCTTCTGATCCTAAAATGTATATGAATCCAACACTTCATGTAGCATTCTTCCTTGTCTCCATAAAAAAATGATCTTGTATATACTGACCAGGTCATGATCCAAGAGTATACATTAAATAAAAGAAAAAATACATCTAAGATAAGGATGCTTTTATTGACCTAACCAAGAGAATTTTGGACTTCTGTCAAGCACACTAGCTAATGGACTCCTCTTTAATGAATTTATCCTCCCTTAAATTTTCTCAATGCAGTACTATTTAGGTAACACCTGATACCAAGTGATAACACTTCCAATCCAGTTGGCATAAGTTGTCCGGTTTGACCCGGTTATTGCAGCTAAGCAAGCTCCGCGGCAGTTGTGGTTGTGGGTGTGGGTGAAGTTCATCACTACCAAAGTCAAGTTAAATTTACTGTAACTTTTCCAAATAAAAATAAAAATGTTTTAATTAGTTACCTTTAAAAAAAATATAAAAAATAAAGTTATAATTTGGTAACCATTATAGTTATCAAAGTTATAATTAGTAACCTTTCAAAAAAAAAAAAAATTTATAATTAGTTGTGACGAACTCCTCCCACAGAACCATGAAAAAAATTCGCGGCAACATACTCATACAGAAGTGAGTTTTATAGTTTTACCTTTCATCAGGAAATTGACTAGAACCGATAGGATGGAAACCCAAATCTGGTATAAAAAAATAATAATAATAAAATAAAATAATAAAAAAATAAAATAAAAAAATCAAGTATTAAAAGTTTCCATAGAAGATTGACGTACTACCAATTCAAGTCTTCAGGGTATATTCACACATCTTTGAAGTCATCGTTGGCAAACTGGTCTTCAGGGTATAAAAAATTAAGTTTCCATCTCGGCTTGACGGGAGGACAGTCCAGGCTGACTTGAAGTTTGAATTTTTATTGGGCTGACTTCGTAAATTGGGTTAATTTAAAACAATTTAACGAACCCATACATATTCAACAAAATATATCATGAAAAAATAACTAGAATAAAAGTAATTATCAATATATCAATTTCAACACACACACACACACACTCTCTCTCTCTCTCTCTCTCTACATACATTTTTCTCTTTACCTTCCCCATGTATAGCTACCTTGTCGGACAAACTCTTTCTGCGATTTCTTGTTAGAAAATATATATGTTATGTGACATTTAAAATATACCAAATTTTATACGTACTAATATGTTATGAGATAATTAACAATCTGCTAAGAAATGATTAATTAAATTTACAATTCTATATTTAATTAAATATGCAAAATAAAGCAATAAATTAATAAATAATAAATGAAGAACCTAGATCGAGGTTGTTTTTTTTTTTTTTTTAAAGGTAAGCTTAATAAAGAGGAAAAAAGAAGAATGAATGTACATGTGAGAGCACTTGGAGCAAACAATTTACGCCCCGTATGGTGTTGACGGACTCTATGGCGCTTCTCTCCCATGATACAACGATGAACATCCATTAGTAGCAGCACTACAAATTTGTGGATATGGCGAATCTCCTCTATGTAATACTTTGCCTGGCTCAAAAACGCATCTATACTATAAAAATGATGAAATTTGTGCAACTCAAACCAGATGGCTTGGACTAATTTTAATATGGCACATCTATATTGTTCTTGGGTCTAAGTGGCTTGGACCACTTGACCTGTGGCTTAAATCTACATCCACTTCGGTTAAGTTCATGTTGAGAGAGGGAGAGAAGAATGAAAAATGAATGAATGAATTACACAGCCAAGTAGGGTACTTATAGATGTAGAAGTGCCTTTTTGGATTGGATGTGTCTCTTCATCATTAGACACAACCATTTATATGTGTCTGTTCATCACCAAACACACCAACTCCAATAGGTTGCAACGGTTCACATAGTGTCTGTTCACCACTAGATACATCCACTCCAATAGGTTGCAATGGTTCATATTCAATAGGTTATGTCTGTTCGATTGTACCTTTTCAACCAACACACCCATTCACGTATGTATTGTAATCCAATGCATCATAGCTTTCATTTTATTAACTGTATTCACGTATGTATTGGAATTGCTCATATGTCCTTCAGCGTCAAAGATGGATGTAGTGACACCAAAGTCAACTCAAGCGTGGATGATCATCATTCTGAAGTTACTGTGGTAGCTTCTCAAGGGATTGCTAATGAATCAAGTGAAGCTGTACAAGATAAAAAGGCTGAAACAGTAGAAGAAAGGAATGCTGATGTTTCAGACTTAAGTATGAGTAAATCAACTGATGTTCATTTGAATATCCGGTTGCCCGATGGTTCTAGCCTACAAGAGAAGTTCTCCTTAACGAGCACTTTGAGAATGGTCAAAGTCTATGTAGATGAAAACCAAGCAAGTGGCATTGGCTCTTATGATTTAGCTGTTCCTTATCCTCGCAAAGTATTCAATGATCAAGGTATGAATATCGGGCACTCTACTTGCCTACTTGTTTTGAATTAACTAATTTGCTTGATTGGTATGATCATGTTATTTTTTACTTAAGAGAATGGTTTTCTTGCTATTTCATTTCATTGCCTCCTTGCACCAATTTCTGCCATATATTATTTATATATTATGGGTAATTGGTTTGATGAAAAAGTTACATAGCCCACATTGAGGGTTATACTTGGGGAAGATGAAGATTAAGGTTAACGTGGGTAGAGTTAGTAAAGGAAGATATGATAGCATGTGGATTGACTGAGGTTATGGCCTTAAATAGAACGGAATGGAAATATAGATTCATGTAGCCGACCCCAAGTAATTGGGAAAAGGCTTGGTGGTGGTTGTTGTGGGCAATTGGTTTGATGACCATTTGAGCAAAGTGGTGCTGTAATGCTCGTGGTATGGGAGATGAGGCTGGATAAAAAGTGGGATGGCTCTTCTGAAATTCTTTGCTAATTTGTCTAATTCTTTTACTCTAATTCATAATTTTGGTGTGAAGCAAAATGGGAGCAAAGGAAAGAGAGAAGTGAGAACAAAATGATGATGCCTACAAGCTTTACAGAAAAATCTGATCTGTTCAGTTAGCAAGGAACCAAATTGTTTTTGGTTGACATCTTTGCTTCTTCTTTCAAGGTAACCCGAGCATTTAGAATTCTAGGATGGGTTACTGATTCTCCAAGCTAAAAATAGATCGTGAGAGAGTGGTGGAGCAAAAAAAGGGGCAAGGGAGAATTGCAAGGAGGGAGCTTATTCGTAACTAGAACTATAATTTTTTTCAATTTTTTATTGTCCTTTCTGTTCCAGAAACTGCCCTCTTGGGGGGAGGGAAGTGTTTTTTAAGAGAAAAGCCAGTACATTTGATTATTTGTATGGATTAAATTTAAGAAGGTAAATATGCACAAAGTTTTGATAACACATCTCCTTCGACCTTGTTTCTTTGGTAAAATCTTTGTACTTCTTCTCTCATTTCGTGTTATCAATCTGATCAGTTTAAGTACTCACACACACAGCCCATACCGGGGTTTGAACCCCTCCCCTCCTCTTTGACAGGTAGGGAGATTATACCAGTGGTTAGCAAATATCCCCTTAAGCTATCAAAATTTTACAATTAAGGCATTTATAAAAATAAAAAAAATAATTTGCAATTAAGGCCTACGTGTTAAATATCTTGAGTAAGCATGCAAAATTACTGAATTTATCAACTCTATTGCAATTTGTCTATCCTCTTTTGAAAATAAATAAATAAAAAACTTCGACCAAAGCCACTTCAACAAACTAACACCGTCATACTACATTACTTTGGGCTTCATTACTTTCTCCCTTTACCACCACACCATCATGGCATCCATAATTCCTTAACCCAGATTATAGTGGTTGTAATTAATCTGATTCAGAATCATCACTTGATTTATCCATAGTTTCCATCTTCATCCCCATAGATTACAAGACTTGTCCTGACATTTGCATACATAAGACATAATTAATGTAACGTGCTCATATGTTATATTAAGAGAAGGGATGGCTGTTGGGTCACAGCTTCAGTTCCAAAATGGGTAATTCTTGCGGATCAAGTATGCTCCAATAACATAGGGTACAATAAAAAGGGTATAATAGTGATAAATAACATTATATTTGTCATGTGTATTGCATGTGATTGGATTTATGTTCCCTTTCTAATGGCAAAGCAACATCCGGGGCAGAGGGAGGAAGGGTCGAGGTTATTCAGGGTTTTCATCAATACTGAAGGGGAGAGAGAGACAGACGGGGGCTCATGCAACATTTTTGGAAGCATTAGGGTTTTTTTTTTTTTTTTTTTTTTTTTTTTTTTGCCAAATTAATAATACAAGGGGTTTATTTAAAAATAATAATAATGTTCAGGAAAGTTCAGGGTTTTTCTTTCCATGTTCCCCTAAATTTTATGTAAATCCGTAGTCTAATTCTGTTTACCATTATTCTTTTTTTAAGCCATATTGTGCAATGTTGTTTGTCAGTCACGTAGTTGGGAGTGAGGAAGTGTCAGCCTAGCTATTATATAATTCTTGCTTAGAGTGTTCAATATTCTTAGGACTCATGTAACTATCAGCAATGCTCCATAATCACTCTAGATTTGTATAATGTCTAGATGAAGAGCATAGAAAGTACGTTTTAATACCGGGAACTGCATTCATCTATTGGGGTTGCTTTGGAATGACAATTCAACATGAATTTTTGCTTATTTTTGTTATATGTTTCCTTTCATCTTCAACAATATAGGCTGAACTCTACTTGTTTTCACTTCTAAGTTGGAGACAGAATTCTGCTTTTAGAAGTCAAGAGTTACCAATCAGCAGAATTTCATCCTCCTTGATCTTTGGCAAAGTTCTTTCATTCTCTTGAGTTTCTCTTTTTATTTCCATCCTCACCTCTTTCTCTCCCTATCTCTATTTTTTTATATCCCAAGTCTATATATTTAAATTGAAAAATGTTAAATGGATCAAGGAGCATTATGTTTCAAATGAATCCATGCATGTTTGGCCAACTAAGAGAGCCAAATGTGATCCTCAAATACCTTAAATGGTGGTGGTTGGAGAATAATATTGTTTCTGAAATTTATGTTTTGTCGAGCTACATGAATTTTTAGAGAAGCTTTCGGCTTATATTACAAAGTGAAGGTAATTGATATACCGATACAGATGCTCCCTCTCGCTCTCTCATATATATATATATATATATATATATATATATATATATATAGACAAATTAAAAAGAATCTTATTCCATAAACATGTTTGATCCTAAATTACTTGCATTTCATAATATATATATATATATATATTTATATATATATATACAAATTAAAAAGAATCTTATTCCATAAACATGATTGATCCTAAATTACTTGCATGTCATAATATATATATATATATATATATATATATATATATATATATTATGACATGCAAGTAATTTAGGATCAAACATGTTTATGGAATAAGATTCTTTTTAATTTGTTGCGTTGTATCTAAATCTTCAGAGTATTTTTTTGGAGGACAATAGTATATCTCAAGGATATTTGTACATTTTGATCTGTATGTTTATGTAAAGAATATATTTCAACTGTTATTTATTTTTTTATATTTTATTTTCCTTTAAATTTGATATGGGTGCAGAGTTGAACCAAACATTGTCGGAGCTGGGTCTTTTCAACAGGCAAGCATTGATAGTGGTTCCCCGTGGCCGATCTACTTTTCATTATGGAGGAGGATCTTCCTCTCGTAATCAATCAAATTACAACACTCTAGTTGATTCTTCAAGTGGAAGCAATGAAGGATATTTTACATTCGTAAAAAGGATTATATCTTACATGAATCCTTTCTCCTATCTTGGTGGTGGTGCCAGCTCATCAAATTCTATGCAGGAATCACAGACCAGCACGTGGCAATATGGTGAGTTTCTATACCTACAGTGAACGATGTCACTTAATTTGGTTTTTTGGTTCTTTTGCTCTTTTTTCTTTTTGAATCAAACATGTATGGGGCTAAGCTCTAGGTTGAAATGGTTGGTTAATTGTTTTTTCCTGGACTCATTGCAAACTTCAGTTAGTTACATTTGTAGTGAATAGATAGAGATCCCAAAACAAGTTTTATCTTTCTCTGCAGTTGCTTACAGAAAACTTTGGTATAATCCTTGCAAAAAAAATCCAGTCTTTCATGCATCTCCAATATGCTCTCTCTCTCTCTCTCTCACACACACACACACACACACATACACATATCCATGGGGGGTCTCCCAGTGTGTAGAAACTTTCATGTGTATAATGATCATGAAACTGATGCTATGTTAGTTTGCATGGAACTGGCGCCTTAGAATTGGAATTGGAAAAAAATTAAATATGATCTCTGTTTTTCTTGTTTTTGACATGCAATGTTGGATTAAATATGTATGTTTTTAATAAGAACCTTCCTTATTTCTAGTATATGATTCCCTTCTTTCTTTTTCTTTTTGTTGTTTGAAAGGGAGTATTCAAATGTTGGTACTTCCATTCAAATATTTTTTGGTTTTCTTTGATGAGAGCATGGCAGTTGGTGGTTTCTTAAAATTATGTATTTATTTTCTACAGAGAACAAAGGGATATGTTATCTGCTTTCTGGGAAATTCAGGTCCAAATCCTACGCTGCAGAATAACCTAGGGGGCACGGGAAGACCCTATACTCTCCAGTCATCAACCCAAAACAATCCTGGGACCAGCAGAAATAACAGCAAGAGCAAGCAACAAAACCCGTCTCGTTTTGGAAGCAATATTCACACACTAAAACATGATGGAGATGATAGCCGTGACAGAAATGCCTTCTGGAATGGGAATTCAACCGAGTATGGTGGTAACAAAGATGATAAATAAGATCACAAGAATGCCCTTTTAACAAAATGCAGGTTTCTGATCTTTGATTTTGGGTTAAACTCGGAAAAAACAAGTAGAAGAATATCTTACCAAGAAATTAACTCCTTGCAATATATCATTATGTCTGTCAAGTATTTCATTATTTGTGTAAATATACTCTTTTTAGGTCATGTGGTCGAAACATGGATTGCATATATCATTCCCAGAATTTGATTTCAGCGGTAAAATGCTGTCGAGTCTTGCTATGCTCCTGTTTTGGATGAGGCAAGTAGTTCAAAGTTGGTTCAAACCCAAGTTCAACATTTGAATTGCCTATTTTAGTATATGAACCATGGCACTCCGTCAATAGGAGACTTGAATCTACACTGGTCTCTCCAACTTCCATAACATTCTTGGTTTTAGAAACTGGGGATGCTTTAAGTTGAAGATGCCGCTTGGAGAAGGAGGGTCAAGGGCATCAAGTTACTGGGGGTAAGGGCTTATTCAGGTCTTGTAGAAAGCTAGTTATATATTGAATGATCATCCTTTCCATGGATTGTTAATGTAGAAAATTTAGCCGTCTTTTCGAGTTGTTTTCCCACCCATGGATTGAGCCAGAGTTCATCTTCCTAGCCATTTCTTGACTATCTACCAAAAAAGTCATGCCTAAATAAAGAGAATTTCTCTCATTCAAATGCCACATCCAAGAGATCTGTGTGTCATTATAGAAATGGATAGGTATTCTCGATGGGAGTTCACGTCTTGACGTTCTCATCTGTTGATTGAAGTTTGTATCTCGTGTTCATGATTCAATGGATGAGAATGCAATCTCATGTCTTGATTCAATGGAGAAACACACAAGCTCATGCGAGAATGCTCTCATCATATCCTCATTCTTTCAATTTGTGACGAAGCCTTGCTGAATTAACACTTGGTATGAATAGTTCTAATAAGAAATTACAAACGTTATCAAAGCTTTCAGCTTCCCATCGTTACAACATTTGTCGTACATTTCTGAACAAAAATAACAATTACACTGCCAAATTCCCGACCTATTCTCTGTCGTGTTTGTCGAGTAATTTACCTATGAACCGGGAGACTTTGATCTAAACCATATGTTATGTGCAACGAGTAGCAATGCACCTTAATTGTATGTCATAACCCTTATTTTGTTGTCGCTGCATCATCGTTTTGATATCATGAAGCAGCTGAGCTACCACCATCTCCATAATTCCTGCAAAAGTACTCTCTATCAGAACGTAAAATGATGAATAAAACATTTTCACTTCTATGGACATAGCAATGTCAAAGAATTCAAAATTAGTCACTACTTGCACCTTGTAAGATAGGAGCATCATCACACAAATTCAGTCCTCATTGAGTGCGTCTAGTTACTACTGTCTCAACTTGCTCACCTGCATGGAATTCAAGATTCTAAGTTATTCTGTAACTTGGAATAGCAAAAACTAGAATTAGAATAGATAGATACTTTCATGTTTCAACTCAACTTACAATTTTTGATAAATTGAAGTTTGATCTTCTTGAGTGCTACTAGAGCATCTTTCATGTTGATCCTCTCCTGGGGTGATTCGGCAGAGCAATACAAAGCCAATTCCATGACGGATGATACGCATTGCACCTTTGCAGTGTAGTGTTCTTCCTTTGGCCTGAGCAAGTTGGAATCGACAACCTGAATAATTGCGTCAGGTAGTGACTGATTTACCCAACCCTTGAGGCTTAGATCCCCAACAAATAAATCATCAGTGGGTTTTCGTCTTGTAAATGTTTCCATTAACATAATACCATAACTGTAAACGTCACACCTTGTTGATACTAATCCTTCCAATCCGTATTCTACATCAAATATTATAATTAATCAAACCAGTTGGATGTGTTTTGATGAAAGTGAAATTTTGAGAAACTAATAAATTGAAATTTTGTTATGACTAAAAAAAAAAAAAAAAAAAAAAAAAAAAAAATTCCCAAAACTAACATTGAACAACAATTGAAAGCTAAAAGCTTCACCTGGTGCAATATAACCAATTGTGGCTAGAGTCTTGGTTAGTGCAATGCTATCCCCTTGTTCTAAGAACTTTGCGATGCCAAAGTCACTCACGTATGCAACCATCTCTTCATCTAGTAGGACATTGCTGGGTTTGAGGTCACAGTGAACCACACGTGTAGAGTAACCATGGTGGAGATAGTCTAATGCACACGCCACATCTATCATTATGTCTAATCTCTGCAAGATATCCAACAAGTAATTGTGTGAATACAACCACTTTTCAAGGCTCCCATTAGGCATGTACTCGAGTATCAAAGCCCTGAAATCAAGGTTAGAGCAACTGCTAATGACTTTGGTGAGATTCCGGTGACGAATGTTGCGTAATATTTCGCATTCTGTGTCGAAACTCTTGAAAGCAGTTTCTTGTTGCAGATTGAATACCTTTGCAGCCAAAAGTGTCCCGTCTGTTAGTGTACCTTTGTAAACTGAACCATAACTCCCCGTTCCAAGTAAATTGCTTTCGCCAAACCCATCTGTTGCTCGGACAAGTTCATGGTATGCAATTCTTTCACGTGTAACTGCAGCTATTGATTCAAGTTGAATTGGATTTTTATTTCTCCTCCATCGACTTTTTAGGCACATTAATAGAATTGCTAAGGCAAGAAGTATTAATGCGATTGGCAACAAAATATATAACATTCTGTTTACCTTCGATTTGGGAAGAGAATTATTATCACATGGCCGGACTTGGAACCGAGGAGCACCACACAATGCTTCATTCGACGTAAAAGATTGACTCGTGAAATTCACAAAAGGTCCACCAGTCGGAATTTCTCCTCTTAGTCTATTGAAAGACGCATTGAAATGTTTAAGATACAAGAGTGACTCCAATGATTTAGGAATCGGACCAGATAGGTTGTTTTGGGATATATCCAAGGATTCCAAGCTTACCAAGTTTTCAAATGCCTCAGGAATTGATCCTTGCAGCCTATTATGTGCAAGGGAAAGACTAATCAAGTCTTTCAAACCGCCAATGGTTGTAGGAATATCACCAGTGAATTTATTCATTGACAGATCAATTTCTATTGCTACTTTTAAACTTCCAATCTCTTGGGGTAGATTCCCACTCAAAGAATTAGAGGACAGATTGAACCGCAAAAGATCTTTGAGTTTCCAAATGGTTGTAGGTATGCCGGAATTAAATCTGTTGGAGTCCAAATATAGATATCTCAAGGAAGTAATATTCACCAAGCATGCCGGTATCGTTCCAAACAATCTATTTTCACTCAAACGTAGCTCACCCATGTTCAGTAAATGGCAGAGCTCCTCAGGAATGGTTCCATCTATTCTGTTGTCATGAAATTGCAGTCGTTGTAGCTTGCTCAACCCTTTGATGGTCGCTGGAATACGACCGGTTAAGTTGTTGGCACTTAGAATCAACGACAACAGGCTACTTAAATTACCAATCTCACTCGGAATATTGCCCTTTATTCCACAACTCTCTAAACCAAACAGTTCGAGGGAATCAGAGAGATCACCGATGGAGATGGGAAGAATTCCATGCAGTGGATTTCCAGCAATTTGTAATATCCTTAAATATGTGCAATTTGTTAAAGAAGTGAGGAAACTCAATTCTAAAGATGATGATTCAGCAATGAAGTTGTTTACCGCGAGGTTCAAAAATAGGAGTCGTCCTAAATTACCAAGGGAGCTGGGAATAGGACCAGTGAACCTATTGTCGGAAACATCTAGAATAGTGAGTTTCGAAGCATTTGAGATAGAATCAAGGATAGTTCCAGTGAAGTTATTTCCTCCAAGATAAAGTTCATCAAGATTGGGTAGAGTCTGGCCTATGCTTGATGGTACATTGCCTGAAAAGTGATTGGCAACAAGTGAAATCCTTTGTAGTGTTGAGATGTTGAACATCGTTGCTGGGACTCGTCCTCTTAAGCTATTCAAATTCAATGATATTATCTCCAACTTCTGAAGGTTGCCAATCTCTTCCGGTATCAAACCTGCTTAGCCATGTAAAAAGACATTGAAATCTAACGTTAATTTCTTCGGAAATGATGAGAGAGGGGTTGTTAGAACTCTTAACAGAAAATAGAAACTAAAAGTTGAAGGAAAATCACAATTTCAGGATGATATATATACAGAGGTTAAAGTTTTTCATGGAATCATTATATCGTCTCTCATAATCATATGAAAATATATATTAACTAATTTGACATGATTTCTAAACATCCAACATTTATTGTTCACCAAAACTTTTAGCTACTATCTTGTTCACAAGGATCTTTTTTGTTTGTAGGAAAATTCTTATTGGCGGAAAAACGTATCTTAAAATTAGAAAAAATAAAAATGAAAATGAAAACATATTCGATTATCAGAAGAATGGTGTCATCTTGTACGGAAGTATCCTATTACCTCTTTAAGCAAGTTGGTATTTTACAAGTTTAACCAAACTCCAAAACAAAAGGATATAATAAATAATAAAAATAAACCACATAGTCAAGACATTAAATTTACAAAAAAGCCTCATTCAATGAATTCAACATAACCCTGTTCTATTTAATGGTATCACACCTGCTAAGAAATGTAAAAGAACATTGAAATGTAACGTTAATTCGTGAAAAATGATGAGAGAGGTCTCATAAGAACTATTAAGAAAAAAATAGAAAACAAACGATGAAGAAAAATGAACATTTCAAGATAATATTAGCATGCGAAGGATTTTCATGGAATCACTATATTATTTCTCATATTTATATGAAACAAAATTATCTAATTAGACATGATTTCTTAAGATTCAAACAATTATGGGCATTGCATCATGTTCATGAAATTTCATTGTATTGTTCACAAGGATCTCTTTGTTTGTGGGAAAATTCATATTGGAAATACTTCTTTCGAAATTTGAAATTCTACGATGGTTTAATTAAGGAAGACATTAACTAAATTCTTATGAAAAGCTTTTTCATATTATGACAAATTAGGAAAAATAAAAATGATAATAAAACATGCTGATTATCAGAAGAAGAAACCTCTTACCTCTTTAAGCAAGTTAGTATTTTACAAGTTAATTAACCAAACTCCAAAACCCAAAAGATATAACACAATTAGGACATTAAATTTAACCAAACTCCAAAACCCAGAAAATGACAAGGTACAAAGGCAAAAATCCCATTAGTAGACAACAAAATGTTTTCGTTGTGTGCTGGGAAAAATAAATAAATAAAAATGCTTTGGGGGGAGATACTGCATCACCAATCGAGTCACATGTTTCTAATATATTCATACTTAATGATTTTATACTGAGTGAGGTGACCAATCGTTTAATTTATGTTATGAAATATGCTTTTTACCCATCTCTCATAATGAAATTCATTTTTGTAAGCCGGGGAAAAAAAAAAATGAAGTAAAAAATGAGAGAAGAAAGTTTTAAGTGCAAGGAAAACATAACTTGCAAAACTCGCCAGAATATAAGGATTATACCTGTAAAGCTATTTCCAGAAAGATAAAGCTTTTGCAAAGAAGTGATATTAAAGATGGAAGATGGAATGAGACCAGTGAGACCTGCATCAGACATTGCTAATATCTCCAAATGAAGAAGGTTACTCATCTCTTGCGGAATTTCACCTACAAAAGAATTTAACAATTTACCATCCATATGAAGCTTTTAATTGTTAATCATATAAACATACCATATTAAAGTTAGTATATAACAATACCTTTGAAGTTGTTACCGCCTAGTCTTAAAACCTCAAGCACAGTTGAGTTCCAAGTCCCTCTAGGAATGGGTCCATTGAAATTGTTAGACGAGACTGACAAAATCTGAAGTTTTGAGCACTCATATAAATTGGATGGAATTTGGCCTTGTAGGTCGTTGCTAGATAGATAAAGCCCTTGGAGATTTGAAAGACCATAGCACATATCCGTTGGAAGATTACCAGATATGCCATTCATTGTGAAAGCAATAATTTGCAGTGACGACATGTTGAAGATGGTGAGTGGCAGGGGGCCTATAAGCTGGTTATTTTCCACGTCCAAAATCTTCAAGTTCAGAAGATTTCCAATCTCTTGCGGAATCATTCCCTGTATAAAATTGGAATATAAACGCAAGCTTTCTAGCTTCGACATGTTAGAGAAGGAAGGTGGGATAGTACCTACAAAACTATTGTTACGAAGAAATAACTCTTGCAGTTTAGTTAAGCCACCCAACCATGATGGAAGCTGTCCACTAAATTTGTTAAAACTCAAATTCATGAATTTCAATCGACGCAGATGAACTAATTCATTAGGCAAATGACCACTGAACGAGTTGTTACTGAGGTCGAGGGAAACAAGAAATGAGAGGTTACCCAGGTTTGGAGGAACCGTACCTTCAAGAGCCATGTCAGAAAGGTCCAATGATGTCACTCGTCGGTGGCGAACACCACAAGTGACTCCAACCCAGTTACAAACGAATGTTGATGTGGACCAGTTGTTATCCAAGACACCATGAGGGTCAAAAGTGATATGGGCTTTCAAGGCAAGAAGAGAAGATTGGTCACTGGTAATGTTGGGTACACTCCTAGCTAAACAAGCCACAACACAATGCACTAACAACACTGCATGCAAAAGAGAAAACCAAGTAATTTTCTCCATGAGTGTGTGTGAATAATTTGGAATACCGACTCAGTTTGCAAGATATATAAACAATGAAAATCTATATGTATAACGGTATATATAAATTTCCTAAATATCTTCTTATATATTGTTGTGATGAGTACAGAAATGAATGTGAAGTTTATGTTAAATTCTATATGATGTATCTAGAATGATCAAGCAGCCGGCCCTTGAAAACATTTTTTTTTTTTGGTAAACAAGGACTTGGCAGCCTTGAGTAATGGCAGGCCGGTTTTAGGAGAAAATATAGGACACGAAACAAAGACTACCAATTCAATATATTCAGTCAATTCATGCTGACAAATACTGAAACACCACTAGGCACTAGACAAAGATTGGAAGACCAAAACCATCCTTCTGATCCTAAAATGTATATGAATCCAACACTTCGTGTAGCATTCTTCCTTGTCTCCATAAAAAAATGATCTTGTATATACTGACCAGGTCATGATCCAAGAGTATACATTAAATAAAAGAAAAAATACATCTAAGATAAGGATGCTTTTATTGACTTAACCAAGAGAATTTTGGACTTCTGTCAAGCACACTAGCTAATGGACTCCTCTTTAATGAATTTATCCTCCCTTAAATTTTCTCAATGCAGTACTATTTAGGTAACACCTGATACCAAGTGATAACACTTCCAATCCAGTTGGCATAAGTTGTCCGGATTGACCCGGTTATTGCAGCTAAGCAAGCTCCGCGGCAGTTGTGGTTGTGGGTGTGGGTGAAGTTCATCACTACCAAAGTCAAGTTAAATTCACTGTAACTTTTCCAAAAAAAAAATAAATAAATAAAGTTATAATTTGGTAACCATTATAGTTATCAAAGTTATAATTAGTAACCTTTCAAAAAAAAAAAAAAATTTTTAATTAGTTGTGACGAACTCCTCCCACAGAACCATGAAAAAATTCGCGGCAACATACTACCAATCAAGTGGAAACCCAAATCTGGTATAAAAAAATAATAATAATAAAATAAAATAATAAAAAAATAAAATAAAAAAAATCAAGTATTAAAAGTTTCCATAGAAGATTGACGTACTACCAATTCAAGTCTTCAGGGTATATTCACACATCTTTGAAGTCATCGTTGGCAAACTGGTCTTCAGGGTATAAAAAATTAAGTTTCCATCTCGGCTTGACGAGAGGACCGCCCTGGCTGACTTGAAGTTTGAATTTTTATTGGGCTGACTTCGTAAATTGGGTTAATTTAAGGAAAAATTACATATAAATGGAGTCAAAGTTTCATATTTACTTAGAGGCTGAGTCAAAGTTCCATATTTCTCTAAAATGGATTGCTGAGGTGGCACATGGTTTTTTACTGTTTAGAAAATTGTGGTACCTAAAATGCCCTTCCCTAACAAAAAAGTAGTACCTTCAGTGCAAAAAAGTAGTACCTTCAGTTCAAAAAAGTAGTACCTTCGGAGAAAAAGTAGTACCTTCGCGGGTGTTTAAAAACATGGTACCTGGACGTCAAAAAGTAGTACCTTCAGTTCAAAAAAGTAGCACCTTCGAAGAAAAAGTAGTACCTTCGCAGAAGGGTATTTTAGGCACCACAATTTCTAAACAGTAAAAAACCATGTGCCACCTCAGCAATCCATTTTAGAGAAATATGGAACTTTGACTCAGCCTCTAAGTAAATATGAAACTTTGACTCCATTTATATGTAATTTTCCCTTAATTTAAAACAATTTAACGAACCCATACATATTCAACAAAATATATCATGAAAAAATAACTAGAATAAAAGTAATTATCAATATATCAATTTCAACACACACACACACACTCTCTCTCTCTCTCTACATACAATTTTCTCTTTACCTTCCCCATGTATAGCTACCTTGTCGGACCAACTCTTTCGGCGATTTCTTGTTAGAAAATATATATTTTATGTGACATTTAAGATATATCAAATTTTATACGTACTAATATGTTATGAGATAATTTACAATCTGCTAAGAAATGATTAATTAAATATACAATTCTATATTTAATTAAATATGCAAAATAAAGCAATAAATTAATAAATAATAAATGAAGAACCTAGATCGAGGTTTTTTTTTTTTTTTTTTTTTTTTTTTTTTTTTTTAAGGTAAGCTTAATAAAGAGGAAAAAAAGAAGAATGAATGTACATGTGAGAGCACTTGGAGCAAACAATTTACGCCCCGTACGGTGTTGACGGACTCTATGGCGCTTCTCTCCCATGATACAACGATGTACATCCATTAGTAGCAGCACTACAAATTTGTGAATATGGCGAATCTCCTCTATGTATTAATTTGCCTGGCTCAAAAACGCATCTATACTATAAAAATGATGAAATTTGTGCAACTCAAACCAGATGGCTCGGACTAATTTTAATATGGCACATCTATATTGTTCTTGGGTCTAAGTGGCTTGGACCACTTGACCTGTGGCTTGAACCTACATCCACTTCGGTTAAGTTCGTGTTGAGAGAGGGAGAGAAGAATGAAAAATGAATGAATGAATTACACAGCCAAGTGGGGTATTTATAGATGTAGAAGTGCCTTTTTGGATTGGATGTGTCTCTTCATCATTGGACACAACTATTTATATGTGTCTGTTCATCACCAAACACACCAACTCCAATAGATTGCAACGGTTCACATAGTGTCTGTTCACCACTAGATACATCCACTCCAATAGGTTGCAATGGTTCATATTCAATAGGTTATGTTTGTTCGATTGTACCTTTTCAACCAATACACCTATTCACGTATGTATTGTAATCCAATGCATCATAGCTTTCATTTTATTAACTGTTTCTAACCAATCCTTAACCACATTAAACATTAAGAATATGTTAAAGAATCGGTAGAGGTTATGTTAAATAAACTGAATTTTGGACTTTGCATGGAACCTTTACATTAAGATATTCATGTTGTAGTCTAACCTATAAATTAGTTACAGGTAAATTTCATTCGCACTGGAAACACTAGTTGTCATAACTAATTTCCAACAATTCATCTAACCACCTCTTTAGGCGACCTCCCCAACATACATTTTTTTTTTTTTTTTTTTAAGATGTAGGGGTGTGTGTGTTTTGTAAATTTTAAATTTTTTATGGGTTTGTGTGTGTGTGTGTGTATATTTGTTTGTTAATGAATCATTGTGCACACGTATAGTGCATTCAGAAAAGAATGTAGATTGTGGATGTCATGTTGTTTTCAATGTCTATTATGTATTTCAAATACAATGTGCAAAATTTTCGGCCAAAGAATTTGCCAAAATTTTTAGTACAGTAAAAAATGTTTGTGACACACTCCTATACTGATTTGTTATAAAAAATAATAATATTGTAAAGGTAAAACATTCACTACACTAATATAAACTTTTATAATATTAGACTAATAATATTGTAAAATGTCAAACTTAAAAATATTTCAAAGTGTAGATGATATATATACTTTGTTTTTAAAAACATTTTAGTTATCTCTTTGGTAAACTTGAGAAATTTTACATGGGTGCATTCTTATACTGATTTGTTAAAATAAAGTAGAAAATTTTATTTTAATATTTTAAAATGTAAACGGTTCACTACACTAGTGTAAAACATTCAATACACTAATATAAATTGTTTGTTGTGCTTAATGTAAAATGATGAGAGATTTAACTTATGTTCGTTCGACTGATAGAGCATAGCAATGAGAGATTGGAGATTGGAAGAGAGAGCCTTAGGTTAATATATATTTATTGATTGGCATCTCTTCAAATCCATAAAAACTAAAAATATATAAAACACACACCCACATCTTATAAAACCAAGTGAAAAAAAAAAAAAAAAAAAATTGTATGGTGGAGAGGACCCGGAGAGTTGGTTGAAGGAGGTGGTTGGATGAAATCATTGGAAGAGGTGGTCCGAGGGAAAGAAAGAATAAGAGATTGGTAAAGTAAGAGAGAGATGAGAGATGGTAAGGGCAATTGGGTAAGTCTCAAAAGGTGTTTAGAGGTATTTTTATGTATCTATGAATAGTGAAAATTGACATTTTGATAATTACTTTTGCTTAAGTTGTTTTTTATTCAATAATTTTTGAATATTTATATTATGATAATTATAGCTTCCTAAGGTTTTTAAAATTAAATTAACCTTAGTAAATTTTTGACTCAATTAACATAATGACAATGAATTAGTAGTAATCTTCCATTGATGGTACATACCAAGTAACTACATTAATATCATAATTTAATTTAAAAAACCAGTAACAACAACAGCAAACAATGAGAGCAAACAATTTAGTAACAAGTAACAACAACAATAGCAAAACAAAGTACAGACCAAGTAACAACAACAATAGTAAAAAATGAGAGCAAACAATGAGAGCAAAGTACATACCAAGTAACAACAACAATAGCAAACAATTAAGTACCAAGTAACAACAACAATAGCAAAACAAAGTACATACCAAGTAACAACAATAGCAAACAATGAGAGCAAACAAAGTGCATACCAGGTAACAACAACAATAGCAAAAAATGAGAGCAAACAATTAAGGATGAACAGATAAATAAAAAATTGTTTAGGGAGCTTGCCAAGGAGATGTTGTGGTGCAGATGTCCTGGATGCAGGTTCTCTCTCTCTCTCTCTCTCTCTCTCTCTCTCTCTCTACATTATATACTTTTTTTTTGTTTTTTTTGGCAACCGAAGATAGCATTAACAAACTGAACAAGTATATCATGAAAAACACCCACAAACAAAAGTGAAAATCATTGAAGCTCTCCAAGATAACTTCCTAATCAATGCTAGCTGAACAAGACTTGGAGCCTTCACACCGGATGAAGGGCAATATTCGGAGTAATCTTTAAAGAACCTGACAGAGTAGGAGATCATCCCATCATCCAAACAAACACCCACATGCATATCAGCATCCACATTTGAGATATCTTGGTCTGTAAAGGTAACAAGTAGCACCGAAAGAACCTAGATATATCACATAATCTGTAAAAACATGACTA